CCACACCCTTCTACTCACTGCTGGTTGCTTCGTGATTTGCAATGTATTGTCTGTCTCATTCGAAGTGAGCTCGATACGAGGGGCTGGAACCTTTGCTACCGTCTCGCTTGGGCTCTGCACTTCTTCCGCGAACGCGCTCTCTTTTTCCAAACCTCAGCGTGGGAAACGCCAAGTTGCTGATTGAGCATGGGAAAATGATCAAAGAGCCCTTGTAGAACCTCGTTGCGGTAGCGCGAGAATGGAGTCGCGCTTGTCGGACTCATCTAAACGAGACATAGCGTAACTTAGCTGCGTATTCGATAAAAAGACCTAGTTGAGATTTTCCGAACTACAAGCGTTTTCTTTCAAATACGCTCATAACGCTGCATCTCCAAGAGTGAATTTCAGTTTAGAAAATTGATTTTGATAATTGCATTATTTATCGCTTCAAATGACGTGATCATAGGTTTGTGGCTGGTGAACTCAAAGATGAAGCGCCCGAATATATGCAAGAGTTCATATCCTTCCTTGACACCAAGAGTGAACAGGTATTTATTTGAGTGGGCTTTTTGGTACGCAGAATTTACAATATATCGAAAAGTCGTTTTAGAGCGCTGTCCACGAGTGCATATACAGCCCTGATCTGGACGAGAAGAAAGCGGGTATCTTTTTAATAGGTACGTGCACAGTCGTTCGTTATGTATATTCTCTTGCATACTGGCTGTTTTTTTCCTAATGTTTTCATCTTCAATCGCGTCAAAATGTGCAAGCATGGAAAAACTGGAGAAGTAGCAGCACTAAACAAAGTCATATCGAAGGCTGTATTGGATGTCTGAATAGTTATCTACCGTCGGATTTGTAGAAGAACCCCATAAAACCTTTTATCCAAACTTTCAGTGTGCCTGGCGGAGACATCCATAGATGGAGAATCGAACAGGGTTGTCCGCTTTGCGAACTTTCTGCTCAAGGTCCTCACTATGCCGAATATGGATGAAGCTGGCATGGAATTGGCTACCAGAGCTCTTGCCTTCCTGATTCAGGTTAATGCATTGTGATCAGGCTTTTATGGAATATCATGTTATACTTCCGCTTCAATATCGCACCCTTTTTGGTGACCAAATCTTTTACGTTTCAGACCTCCAAATCTTATGCTGCGGAATTGGTGGAGAAATGCCTTGATCAGTGCTTAGAATGGCTTGAGGTGAGTATTGTCATTCTCTATAAACGTTTTCATCATTATACGACATAGGAACCCACAAGAAATGAGCAACGACGTTTGGCTTCTGTGCTGTTGGCACGAGAACTTGCGATGTTCACTTCCACGTCGTTTTTCCTTCGGGCTAATGTGTTCTTCAAAAGCATTTTCACCGTGATTAGAGATCCAAAGGTAAACACAAGAACACAAGCTTTTTAACATTTAATCACAATTTTCCAAACTTCAGCCGCAAGTTCGAGTCGCGTCCATAAATGCGCTCCATGCAGCTCTTACTATCACTTCTCAACGGGAGGCAAAGCTCAAAACGGAATGGTACACGGTGAGCACATATAATTGTGACTTTCGCGGTCGCTTATAAGAATAGTCGCAGAAATGTTACGAAGAGGCTTTAAACACACTGAAGATCACTGAACTATCTAAGGATGACCGAA